CTTCCTTCTTTCTCTCTTAGCTCCCACTTATGAGTGAGTACATGCGGTATTTATCCCTCTGCACTTTTCAGCATGTTCATTCTTACAAATCATAATATTTCTTTATGTCCTTTGCCTGACCTATTACTTCCCAAACCCTCTCCCCACGTCTCCCCTCTCTAGTATCCTTAGGTCTGTTCTCTCCTTCTGAAAGTTCAGAAGACATATAAATGGCCAAAAGGCACTTTAAAAAATGCTCAATATCACTAATCATCAGGGAAATGCAAATTAAAACCACACTGAGATATCACCTCATCTCAGTTAGACTGGTTATAGTCAAAAAGACAGATAATAACAAGTGCTGATGAGGATGTGGAGAGAAGGGAATGCTCCTACACTGTTGGTGGGACTGTAAATTAGTACAACCATTATGGAAAACAGTATGGAGGTTTCTCAAACAACTACAGATAGATCTACTATGTGATCCAGCAATCTCACTTCTAGGTATATACTCCAAAGAATGGAAATCATCAGGTTGAAGGGATACCTGCACATCCATGCTTATCACAGCTCTATTTACAATAGCCAAGATATGGAAGCAACCTAAATGTCCATTGACAGATTACTGGATAAAGAAACTGTGGTATATATACACCTTAGAATACTACTCTGCCATAAAAAAGAATGAAATTCTGCCATTTGTAGCAACATGGATGACCTTGGAGAAAATTACATTAAATGAAATAAGCCAGCCACATGTTATCACTCATAAGTGGGAGCTAAGGAAGAAAGAAGGAAGGAAAGACCACAGTTGTGTGTTGGACTTGCAGAGGGAGAGAGCATACCTGGGGTTGCTGGGGTAGGGTGGGGGAGGAAGGTCAGGGATTAATTGGGAGGGGGGACATTGGGGAATAATTACAATTTGTGGTAATGGGCATGCTGATAGTATTGATCTGACCATCATATCTTGGGCATAGGTGGTGATGGTCAGCTTTGTACCTCATAAATATGCATAATCATAAAAAAAGTTGTCTTTGCAGTTAATTTTCTTAGAAGAAGAAAGGCATATTCATGGGGTACAAAGCTGACCATTACCACCGGTGCCCTAGATGTGATAGGGAGAGAGACAAAAATGCAGTCTGAACTCAACTCCATTAAAACAAAGGGCAGGAGAAATTTTGAGAGCTGGGGTTGGGAGAATCTTAGATCATCTGTCCTTAACCAAAGGAAAAGTAAACTTTCTGGTATCTTTATGACAGAAGGTAGTTTTACAACTTAGAGCAAGGTGCCTATGAAAGCTAGGCTCCCACCCTTCCACAGAGATTGGGAAATAGGGGCACTATCATCTTAGATGTTTACATTTCAAAAGGATGGCTCCCTGTTTCTTGAGAAAGTCGTTCTAGGTTATAAAACTGGTAAGAGGCTTTCAGAAAAAAATCATTTCAGAGGGTTAGAGAAAGAACTTACAATTTTTCTAAAGTAAATGATCTAAGAAAACACAGGTCAGGAGCTTAGGGTCAGGAAGAAGCCTCTTTAAAGTTTAATCAAGCAGAAGGCTACATTAAGGCCATCTTGGTCAAGTCTAATACACATTTGACTTCTTTTCTAGCCTTCTATTGATCCCATCCAGTGCAGTCTTTTCACTTTGAGCATTTCCACAACCCCCTCAAAAGCTTCCATATTGTCAATATATTGGTAGCCTGCTACATCCATCTCTTTGCTTTAAGATGCAGCTTTTCTTGCAACCTTCTTAAACGGAGGCCCCTTGTTCCCCCAAACCTCAAGCATCTTGGAATGGGAAGTGCCAATGACTGCTTCAATCCTCCCTTTAACATTTATATAAAATATTTCTACTTAGTGAAGCTCATACTTTCAGGCTGTGTCAATATCTATTCTTGTTCCTGTGCTTGATCAACCTCCTGAATACTTTTGCAGATTCACGGAAGTCATTGTCTTCAGATTGGGGGAACATTATCCTTATCCATGGACTTGGGTTACCTTGGGTCACCTCAATGTCTAATCTCAATGTCTAATTAAAATGTCTTGAATTCTTTAAATTTTGTTGATATACTCCTCAATTCTGTTGCAATCACATCCTTGGCTTCATTGTAAGCCAACACTACTCTGCCTTTATCTTAAATTTCTTCATCGTACTCCCTTGACACCTGCTTCTTTCTTTTCCTTTTTTTCACTCCTTTGCTCTCACTATGCCTGTACATTGAGCTTCATATCTGGCTTTGGGTTGTATTTAACTCCCTTGTTCCTTTTTGCTTTTTTGCTCTGCTATCCTGGCAAACATTCAAAACTTGCATGAATTCAACTCACATACCTCTCTGAATTCATAGATAGGCTTTCTGAATGCAGAAGAAATTAAACAATTGTAAAGGTTGAGGACACAACTAATTGTTGGGTTAGGACCTATACTCAACTAACTGGATTCTAGTGGTCTTTTAACAGTAGATAGTTCTTCCTATTATTACTTATTCAAAACTTGCATGAATTCAACTCACATACCTCTCTGAATTCATAGATAGGCTTTCTGAACGCAGAAGAAATTAAACAATTGTAAAGGTTGATGACACAACTAATTGTTGGGTTAGGACCTATACTCAACTAACTGGATTCTAGTGGTCTTTTAACAGTAGATAGTTCTTCCTATTATTACTTTCAATAGATATTTTAAAGAATTTAGAACATTACTTTATGATAACTATTGTTTTTTTCTGGTTAAAACATAAATACTGTTTATTGTGAAACATTTGGAAATATAGAATAGATGAAACACTGAAATCACATATCCACTAAAATATGGCCCATAACTATATCACTGTAATATTTTCTCCAAGGATTTTATATGTATAAAGAAATGTATAATGTGTAATATATAAAATTTTATGAAAATAGCCTCATACTAAACATTTTATATCTTGCTCTTTTCCCAACTAATATTTTGTCATGGACATCTGTCATTACATATTTTTCATTAACATGATTTTTAGTAGTGACATTATTTCAAAATAAAGATATGCCATTTGACCTTTCCTTATCATTAAAATAAGTAATACCCAATTTTTTTTTAGTGTGACAAGAAACATCTTTTCTCTTAATCTTCATCCTGAAGCTTTTCAAAAGAGTTGTCTACTTGTAACTTTATCCATTTCCTTATCACCTATCATGTGACTTCAACCTAACCACTCTAGTAAAAACGCTTTAGCTAAACTCACCAGTGGTGTCCATTTTGACAAATAAAATGGACAATTTTCAGTTTTCACCTGAGTAGATCTCTAAGCACCATTTGACACAGGTGACCACTCTTTCTTGGAATATTTTCTTGTATTAGCTTCTATAACAACACACATTCCTGGTTTTCTTATATTTCTAGTTGTTCTTCTTCAGTCATTTGTTGCCAGTCCCTTTTCCTCTACCTGATATTTAATTTAAATGCTTGTTTACTGAGAGGGCTCAGTCACGAACCTCTTTTCTTGTTTCTCTGGACCTTCTTCTAGGTGATCATATCCCCTCCATGGCTTTAAATATCATCTATATGGCAGTGATTCTCAAATTTGTATCTCTAGTCATGCCACTGTTATGGACTCTAGACCTGTATATTCACCTAAGCACCTAACATCTCTACTTTTCATAGGCATCTCAAAATTAAAATGTCCAAAATTAAACTTTGGCTATCGCCCTCATCAACTGCTCCTCCGTTATTTTTTTTCTCTCTCAGTAGATGGTACTTTAATTCACTCAATTGCAAAAACCAATACCTAGGAATCATTCTTAGAACTTATATCATCTTTGTCCCTTATATCCAATCCACCACCAATTCCTGATAATCCTAACTCCAAAATATGCCAATATTCTGTCCTCTTTTCTCCATTTACACTGCACACCTATTTTTGGAGCCACATTTTGGAAACTTGTTGGTGGAACTACTTTCTGACACAGTTTAAAAATATCTCTTGTTGTTTGAGAAGGAAAACATGCCTTGTATATTTTGATAGTAGGCTGTTGTGGTTACTGAAGGTTAAGGACACAGAAAAGGAGTTTACTTGGAGATAGACTTCAGAATTCAAGCTTTTCAAATAGAGTCAACTTCCTTTCAAGTCATATAAACATACCTTGATAGAACATTCCCACACATAAGTTATCAGTTGTTTTCTCCAACAATTGAAAATAGGTTGCAGTATTCTGAGTTCCACATCATAACTTGTCTTTGATAGTAGGATAAAAAGAACAGAATTGAAAGTTCAAAAGCATCAACTCCAGCAATCAGAAAGTTGCATTACTGGAGTTTACTTGATGTTCCCTTGATAGACAAATGCTTCTTTCAACTTGACTTTTTTTTCAAAAAGTAGATGTCTTACTTGCAGCCTTACTGGAGTTTACTTGATGTTCCCTTGATAGACAAATGCTTCTTTCAACTTGACTTTTTTTTTTTTCAAAAAGTAGATGTCTTACTTGCAGCCATTGCCTGTGAATGTATACCAAGTTAAAAAGTGCTGGTAATACCACTGACGGAACTTTGTAGGGAGAATTAGCTGTGATGTCATAGAACCTTGAGGGAAACTTCTGAAAGTGAGATTTAGTTATAACAGACACTGAAGAAGAAAGATGACTACTGAGTAAGGTGGAATCCAACAAGAGTGTAGTGTACAGAATGTGATAATTTATGAATTAATTTTTTCTGACGGATCTCAACAGAACAACACTTAATGAAGAAAAGCAAAGGCTTAACCACTTGGTACATTTGTGATTCTTGATGATTAATTAAGTACTTGAAGATTAATAAATTTGAAATTCACTAGTCTTAGAAATGGAAGAAAGTGATGAACCTGATGAGCCTATTTCAGCAGGGAGGCAAGAAATTCGAAAGAGAAGACGACCTAGCCAACCAATGGTAGACAAATCCCAGCAGACGGAAACAACAGAGAAAAAGAAACACATGGCCATACCACAATCGTCTGCCCCCAAAGCTACTGTTAGTATTGGTAATATTCCTGCAGGCAAAAGCAGCTACTCTGCCAAAGAATTTGAGTCTTTTAGAGTATCTTCTCAACTTCAGCAAACTTGGATGAAGAGAAAGCGTGGACAGGAAATGACCGATGCATCTCTACAGACAGACTCTACCAGAGAAGAGAAAAAGGAAGTCAATTTAGTTGATGAAACAGTGTTACATGAAGAAAAGCCAGCTGGTGTTGGAGGAGCAGTCTGTGAATTGCCAGAGAATGTTCAGGAAGTAGAAATTCCATCAAACAGACACTCCATTCAACTAAAAATAGACAGATCTCAGCAGACCAGTTGTACTGGAGACTGGACCATGATGTATATTCCCCCCAAAGAGAAAGTGAACAAGGAACAGCAGACAAACTTTAGTGAATTAGAAATAGCGTATTTTTCTAGGCCAGGAAGTTCTTTTACAAAGTCAAAGGAAGGTGCCCAGAAACGTAAATCCTCAGGAAAGATGTTTGTTAGTGAACATCCTGAATTTCAACCAGCAACAAATAGCAATGAAGAAATTAAGCAGAAAAAAATCAGCAGACCTTCATTTACTCAGGATATCTATAAAGCTCCTTCAGTACTTTCAGAAGATGAGCCTAGGCAAGAGGTAACAACACCTGCTGTACAAAAGGATTCTTTGGTTAAAAAAGGGGTTTCTGCTGAAATAGAGCCTTCACCAACAGAAAAAGTGCCCACTGAAGTACAGCCTCCCGCTGCAGAAGAGACCCCAGCTGAAGTACAGCCTCCACCAATGGAAGAGACCACTATTAAAGCAGAGCCCAGCCCTGCCGAGGAGACCTCTGTCCAAGTACAATCTCCAACTGAAGAGACCCCTGCAGCTGAGATAGCTATTATGGCAGAGGACTCTGTTGAAGTACAGCCTCCGCCAGCTGAGGAGACTTCTTCAGAAGAACCTCCTATTGAAATTCAGCCTCCTCTAGAAGAAGAGGCTCCTGTTAAAGTACTACCTCTGCCAGCTGAGGAGGCCCTCAAAGAGGCCCCAGCTAAAGGAGAGCCTACCTCTGCTGAAATGACACATGCTGAAGTTCAGCCTCTATCAGCTGAAGACGCTCCTATAGAAATGGCCCCAGAACTTCTGATTCCAGCAGCTATGGAATCCCCTACAGAACAGGTCCCTGCTGAAATTCAGTCTCCACCAGCTGAGGAATCCCCTGCAGGTGAAGCTCCTGCTGACATTCAGTCTCTACTAGCTGAAGAGGCTACTGCAGAAGAGGTCCCTGCTGAAGTTCAACCTTCACCACCTGGGGAGACCACTGCAGAAGAGGCCTCTGATGAAACTCATCTTCTAGCAGCTACAGAGGCTCCTGAAGAAGAGGCTTCTGCTGAAATTCAGCTTCCACCAGCTGAGGAGGCCTTGGAAGATGAAGCCCCTGATGAAGAAGGCCCTGCTAAAGTTCAGTCTCCACCAGATGAGGAGTCCCCTGCTGAAGAGGCCCCTGCTGAAGTTCAGCCTCCACCAGCTGAAGAGGCTCCTGTTGAATTTCAGTCTCCATCAACTGAAGAAGTGTTGGCAGATGAAGCCCCTGTTGAAGAGGCCCCTGCTGTAGTTCAGCCTCCACCAGCTGAGGAAGCCTTGTCGGATAAAGGCCCTGCTGAAGAGGCCCCTGTTGAAGTTCAGTCTCCATCAGTTGAGGAGGCCCCTGAAGAAGAGGCTCCTACTGCAGTTTGGCATCTACCAGATAAGGAGGCCACTGCTGAAGTTCAGTCTCCACCAGCTGAGGAGGCCCCTGCAGAAGAGGCTTCTGTTGAAGTTCAGTCTCTATCAGCTGAGGAGGCCACTGAAGGAGAGGCCTCTGCTGAGCTTCATCCTGCACAAACTGAGGAGGTTCCTGTAGAAGAGGCTTCTGCTGAAGTTCAGCCTCCATTAGTTGAGGAGGCCCCTGCAGAAGAGGTCCCTGTTGAAGTTCAGTCTCCGCCAGCTGAGGAGGCCCCTGCAGAAGAGGTCCCTGTTGAAGTTCAGTCTCCGCCAGCTGAGGAGGCCCCTGCAGAAGAGGTTCCTGCTGAAGTTCAGCCTCCATCAGTTGAGGAGGCCCCTGCAGAAGAGGTCCCTGTTGAAGTTCAGTCTCCGCCAGCTGAGGAGTCCCCTGCAGAAGAGGCCCCTGTTGAAGTTCAGTCTTCACCAGGTGAGGAGGCCCCTGCAGAAGAGGCTCCTGCTGAAGTTCAGCCTCCATCAGTTGAGGAGGCCCCTGCAGAAGAGGCTCCTGCTGAAGTTCAGCCTTCATCAGTTGACAAAGCCCCTGCAGAAGAGGCTCTTGCTGAAGTTCAGCCTCCATCAGTTGAAGAGGCCCCTGCAGAAGAGTCTCTTGCTGAAGTTCAGCCTCCATCAGTTGAAGAGGCCCCTGCAGAAGAGTCTCTTGCTGAAGTTCAGCCTCCATCAGTTGAAGAGGCCCCTGCAGAAGAGGCCCCTGCAGAAGAGGGGCCTCTTGAAGTTCAGTCTCCACCAGCAGAGGAGACCACTGCAGAAGAGGTCCCTGCTGAAGTTCTGTCTCAACGATCTGACCAAACCCCTGCAGATGAGGCTCTGGTAGAGAATGTGTCTACTGAATTTCAATCTCCCCAGGTAGCAGGCATCACAGTAGTAAAAGCAGGGTCAGTTGTTTCAAAAGGTGATACAAAATTTGAAGAGGTTTTAGAAATGGATCGCATTCCTGAAGGTTTGTCTAATACCAAGGATGAACAGGTTTCCACTGTTGAAATAGAAGGTGTCGTTAGTATAAAATTCAAAAGGCCCTCCTCTTGAGCTGTACTTGGGTCCTAACTAAGCTAGCAATCAGAAGACAGGTGGTTCTGGAAGTATGTACTTTAGGAAGAGGTAGGCATCTGGAAGAAGCTTTGTGAATAGGATAAATAAAAGGGAACCCCAGGACTTGTAGTACAGCTTGGGAAATGAACAATAAAACTGTAGCAGTTTAAAATTACTTGTGTTATTTTCATTCAGATCTATAGCATGTAAAATACCTATTTTGAAATGAAGTAAGTTTATGATTGAAATCATTAATTAAAATATTCTTTCTACAGTAAACTCTGTTGACATGTGTAAAGTCTATTCTGTAGCCATATTTCCTTTACTCTGCCTTCCCTTTATATGTACATGTAGCTTCTAGTAGAAATGCCACTTTTATTTCTGCAGATCTGTCATCTACTTTAAATTCCTTGAGTTTTAATCACACATCTAAAGTTACGTGGTGTTCTCTTTGTCCTTAAAATTCATCACATCTCTTGTTCTCTTTCCATTTAATTCTTTCTGAGACAAGCATTACTTTCCTGTGTTCAGTCTAAGTGTCCTTTCCTATCATATTACATATTTTACGTTCAATGTCTGGATAGAGAAACATTTCTTTTGTAAAAATCTTTATTTCAATCAAATGAAGATGGCCATTGATGAAGTATTTTTAAAAAGGTGTGTAAATATTAAGAAAAATATACCAAGATGGTGTATATTTGAGGACCCATTCCTGTTTAGTTTTAATTTGATTTCAACTGAGAATATGATGAATCTTTCAGAAGACTGGCTTATGTTTTTTATACTTTGAATTTGTGATGAAGAGAAACTTAGAATAAAGTATAATTACTATCATATAAACTATTAAAGATTTTAAAGAGCATCAAAGCTTAACAATAATTAGTTTGTTATTAAAGGGCACCTAGGTTTCCATGTTTATGAGACCATCTGGAAAAATGATTTCTCTAGCTACCAATCAGTTGCAGTGTGCTGAAATGTTGAGATAGTTCTGTTAAAAAATTTTAATTCAGTCAGTGTATTTCTCTGTTTAGTGAAAACTTTAGATTGATGATTGGAAACTGTTAAGTTTTGATATCCTATTATTGTTGAAGTTTTGCCACATTTTTCATTACCTTGGTAACCAAGTATATATGATATTTTTCAGTGAGTTTTTGAGAATTTTGTAAAAATTATTGCAAGCACACTCTTTCTTGTATGTACCAGATTTGAGGTTGAGAATATTATTCTAGACTATGTAAAATGGGGGTGGTTTTTTTGAATTTCTAAGTCCTTTCCATTTTATGTTTTCTGAGATACTTCAGTCTAGTTACATTTGGTTTTCTAAATTAGAAGGTTTTTTTTTTTTTTTTTCTATTTTAGATTTTCTATTGTGGCCTGTTTTTAAATTCAGAAGCCATATGAGAATTCAGAACTACATAAAAATATGAGAATATGTTTAATAAAGATGGAAATTTATCAACTGGCAACATTAGAGAACTTTCAGTATTTAAAAGTTGGATGTTAGCTGGAGCAGAAGTTATGACACAGTTGAAGTGTCTACAAATAGTATATGGATAGTGAACAAGTATATTTGGGAGATTCTGGAGGCAGAATTAAAAAGCCCTGGAATGTAAGTTACAGCAGGGGTAGCTGTGATAATTTTGAAGTTTTTAAGAGACAGGCATAAATAAGAAAATTTCTTGAATAACTAGAACATAGTGTAATAGGGAGAGATTTTGATTTTTAAAATTGGGTATTGACAAAGATTCAGGGTAAGTAGAAACTCATAAAGGTGATTGCCTTTACCAAATGTAAGAATGACACCAGGCTGGTGACAATTAAATTTTTTAAAAAATATGAGATATTTAAAAAATAGCTTTACTAAGATATAAACTACATACAATAAATTGCGTTTATTTAAATTGTAGTTTGATAAGTTTTGGCACATGTGTATACCTATGAAACCATCCCTCTAATCAAGATGATGAGCATGGCTATCACTCAGAAGTTTTCACTGTGGCCATTTGTAACTCCTCTTTCTCTGGGTCCACCCTTCCCCTATCCCCAACAGGCAATCACTGATCCATTTTCTCTCACTACAGATTATTTTGAATTTTTCTAGACTTTTATGTGAATAGAATCCTATAGTGTATATATATTTTTTTAATTTACACCCTTCCCCTATCCCCAACAGGCAATCACTGATCCATTTTCTCTCACTACAGATTATTTTAAATTTTTCTAGACTTTTATGTGAATAGAATCCTATAGTGTATATATATATTTTTTAATTTTATTTTTTTGGTCTGGCTTCTCTAACTCAACATGACTATTTTGAGATTCATTTATGTTGTATGTATCAATATTTTGTTCTTTTTAATTGCCAAGTTGTATTTCATTATATGAATATTCCACAATCTTTTTTAGTTCACTTATCAGACATTTGGGTTGCTTCCAGTTTTAGGCTATTACAAATAAAGTTGCTATAAACATTCATGTATGAGTCTTTATGTGGACATATGCTTTCATTTCTCTTGAGAAAATTCATAGAAATAGAATGGCTAGTTTGTGTGGTAGGTGTATGTTTAACTTATTTAAAAACTACCAACTATTTTCCAAAGTGATGTACCATTTTACTTTCTGACCAACAGCTGTTGGAGTTGAAGTTGTTCCACATTCTTGTCAACACTTGGTATGTTCAGTCTTTTTCATTTTAGCCACTCTAGTGGGAGTATGGTGATATCGCCTTATAATTTTAATGTATTAAAATTACTCCCTAAGAGGTTTCTCAAACAACTACAGATAGATCTTCCATATGATCCAGCAATCCCTCTTCTGGGTATATATCCAGAGGAATGGAAATCCTCATGTTGAAGAGATACCTGCACTCCCATGTTTATTGCAGCTCTGTTTACAATAGCCAAGATTTGGAACCAACCTAAATGTTCATCAACAGATGATTGGATAAGGAAACTGTGGTATATATACACTATGGAATACTACTCTGCCATAAAAAAGAATGAAATACTCCCATTTGCAGCAACATGGATGAACCAGGAGAAACTTATGTTGAGTGAAACAAGCAAAGCACAGAGGGATAAATACTGCATGTGCTCACTTAAATGAGGGAGCTAAGAGAGAAAGGAAGGCAGGAAAGAAAGACCACAGTAGTGCCGTGATCCAACA